GAAGTGTGAGGAAGGACTCCTGTTTTCAAGGAGCTCATAATACAATGAAGATACATAAATGGAAGCTAGTTTTCTAAACAGGGCCACGTGGAAGAAAGTCAAACAAATGTTCTCACAACATGTGCTACCTGGAGTTAGGGGAAAGAGAGCTGCTCAACTTGGAAGCCTCCTGTGACTAAGAAGCAGGGCCAAAATTGTTCAAATAGTATTTGTTTGAATTTTCAGTATTTAAAAAGTAAAAAAATTATTTCCCTTTTTGTGATTTTTATTTGATTTAACTGACTAAAAATATTGGAACTTGCATGACTACCTTAATTGTGTGTTGGGGGTGTGGTTTAAAGTTACTTCTGAACACCCAGGTTTCCTTCCTATTTCCTGATAATCCTCATCGCCCACGCTGTCTGCAGCATGGTCAAGGGCCCCTCAGAGGCGGACTACTTGGCCTTTTCCATGGAAGACCAGACATTCAGTACTACTAAGGTTTTGATGTTCCTGAAAGGCCCATATATTGAAGGCTTAATCACCAACCTATGGCACTATAGGGTGATGGTGAACCTTTAAGAGGTGGGACCTAAGGGGAGAAAGTGCACTTAAAGTAAAAATTGGGACCACAGCCCTCCCCAACCCTGTTTCCTGGCTGCCATGAGGTGAACAGACCTCCTCTGCACATACTGCCACCATGATGTACTGTGCTATCTCAGGCCCAAAGCAAGAGCACCAAATGACTGTGGGCTGAAGCCTCTGAAACCTTTAAATCAAAATAAACCTTTCACCTCATTGAGTTGATTATCTCAGGTATTTTATTATAGCAACACAAAGCTGACTAATCTTTGTCAGTTTGCATTTTGAGTCAGTCCCCTGGGTCTGGTGGCCATGACAATGAAATTGTTTATCCTGGCTATTTTAGACTATGGCCTCAGAGCTGCCAATGCAAAAGATTTTCCCTCTAAATGCCTTCATCCCTTTGTATTCAGGCCAGACAACTTTTTCACAGATGAGAGTCTAAGATATGTCCTTTTAATAAAGGAATTGGCAGAAGAACGGAAAGGGTGACTCAGAATCATGAGTCTTCTGGCTTACTGATGGGCTCAGAAACTGTACTGGTGTAAAATGAGACTGAGGAGCTGAAATATTCCTTAGAAGCCATTGGTACAATGTCAAAGGGAGAAGAGACAACTTATATAAAGGAAAAAAAGAATTAAGGTAATATATATCAAATTTCAATAAAGGCCAGATTAAAATAATGGCAATTTTTAAAATTCTAATTGAGTGGTGACTTTTATAATTAATACCAAGTCTTCTAAGATTCTGATGGCAGGAAATGCATACAAAGATGCCTGACATCTTGTTAGAGATTAGGATACATAAAAGCCACAAAATTACTAATATCTTCAGAATGACTCAAACAAACAATACCAAACATTGCTAAGGATGTGGAGCAGCTAGACCCCCTCACGCATGTCTGGTGGGAACGCAAAATGGTCCAGCCACTTTGGAAAACAATTTGACGGCTTCATGTAAATTGAATCAGATACTCTTCATATAACCCCTGTAATCCTACTCCTAAGTTTTCACTCAACTGCGATTTATACATGTCTATTCAAAGACCTGTATATGAGCATTTATAGCAACTGTCTCGTAACTACCCCAAACTGAAAATTGCTCAAAAGGTGAATGGAAAAACATGGTGGTATATCTCTGTTTTGGGTTACTATGCTGCAACGAAAAGGAACTAACCATTGATAAATGCAGTGAGACAAGTAAATCCCATCTTGCAAAGTGAAAGAAGGCAAACACTAAGTCTATTTAATTTACATTGACAACCTGAGAAAGACAAAACTATAGGGGCAGAAATAAAATTCACGGCCCCTGGGATCTGGATGGAAGTAGAGAGAAGGATACTTACTGCAAAGAGATATGAAGAAAGTTGGGTGGTGTGTGATGGAAATAGTCTATTTTGATCATGGCAGTGCTTAAAGAATTAAATATATTTATCATCAAAACTCATCAAACTACATTTTGGAAAAATATTTTACTCCATCTGTAGAGGCACAGCAACGCTTAACAACTAGGCCACATGTGGAACAGTCCAACAGGAGACTTTATTCGGGAAGGCAGGTCAGGAAGAGAGGAGAGAGGGAAGAGAGAGAGAGAGAGAGAGAGAGAGAGAGGAAGTTCTTTTTATTGGTTTCGGGCTGGGCTATTGC